CCAAGTACCTAGCTTCATCCCCCACTGTCATTCATTGCCTCCCTGTCTCAAAATGATGAGTTTTCACCTTTAGTTTCTCTGACACTCAAGGTTTCCTTCACTCTCCATTGCTGCATGTTCCTTTCTTCCCAAACTCAGACCTGAAGCCCATGTTTCCTTCTTCTGCCACATCCTTTTAGCAGAGCTTCAGCTCCCAACACCGCAATCCTTCTTCCCAATCTCTTTTATACTTTACTTGCTACTGCCACCCCTGTGGTTGAGTCCCTGTGAAGGGTATGATGCAGCAACCAAGGCTTCAAGTGTGGCAGCCATAAATTGCTCTCTCACCAATACAGAAAGAAGTTACCGTTGCCATCAGCTCCATAGCAATGACCTGTGTTCAGGCCCTCTCCCTATGAGATGACTTAGGCCTATTTCATAAATGTCAGTGAAGGCTTAGGCGGGTAGAGACCTCTTCTGTTCTAGAAGAGATGATGAGATAACATGTTCCTGGATAGTGTATCTCTGCACAATTTCAGACTGTAGAACACCCACCTTCTGAAGCCAACAGGAACCATTTGTCTGGGTTTCACAGGAATTTGTGGAGAGGGTGAGGTGGTTCAGGTCAAATATGAATGGAAAAGCACAGTGAGAAACTTCTACTTCACATGAGCAGTGATTTTTCCTTTGCTCCTTGTGCTGCTCCTTGGGATGAAAACCAAATGTGGCTGCTACCTATTAGGTGAGAAGAGCGAGAGTCTCCTTTGCTCTACACAGCCAAGCAAAACAAGGTGGACCTCATTTCACATTGGGCCTCATTTCCATGGCAAGACAGACTGTAAAGCACCCTATGCTCACAATTGCTAAAAGTCCCACCCTCCTTTGCAAAGATTTTTTTTGTTGGAATTTGATTGTCTTACTGGAATGCAAAAGGAAAAAGATAAATGATTTAGTCTCCCTTGGCTGAATCCTCAGCAAAGGCAAATTTGCAGAACTCAGAAAAAGTCATCCTAAATTCAATCTGTAGAACCTGATCTTTGTTTATATCAAACTGTCAGCTTCTTTGTCTTCAGCTAGGCTGGAAATGTAAGTGGTTCATCATTTTCCTATCCAGATATTACAGGAATGAAACTATATCAAAACCTATCCATAAAACCACAAAAAATCAAATGAAACGACAATTGAAGTGTTCAGTTCTATCCTTCTACCAGGTTTGCTGTTTTGGCTACTGTATTTCACAGGGTGTTCTCCAGGGAGAGAAGGAAAGGGGAAGACAAAGCATGGGAATGCCAAGACGGAAGGTCACTAGGCCTAAGAAAACTAACATGAAAAACTAAAACTTGTAAGGAGGCCTCTTGAGTCTGACAGTGAAAAAAAAAAACAGAAGAATGCAGGCAAATACAGGCTGGAAAGTGGTGCAATTTTTCATGCAGTATGAGTAATCATTGGATGCAATAAAGCCACGTGCGGCAAGTTTTCCATCAGAAATGACCAATTACTGAGACAGAACGTATTCTGAATGAATCAAAATGAATAGCTATTGAAGAAGTTGGGAGTGGGTGATTTCACAGACCCCTCCTAGCCTGATCATCTCTAGATCTGAGTGCTTAAAGCCCAGATTGACTAACACACTTGAGTATATGCCTATTTTTAAACAATTTAAGCCAACAGGATGATTCAGTTACACATAATTACAGACATACTTTATGACTGAAGGCATGACAGAGAGAGAGAAAGTGGTTTTGGTCTACTAATGACTGTGGGTACCTTGGGCAACATGCTGTGTGTATATGTGGCCATCAGACTCCTCTGCTGTTTCTACCCCTCTAGAAAATTCAAGGTCCTTGAAGCGCTTTGTTTCCCACTGGAAAATCCCACAGTGGGCTTCTGGAGGGCCAGCCTTCTCTGAAGGTCAGTCTACATTATTCTACATGAGTCAAGGGATCCCTATTGTGCCTAAGAACAAGCCTAATTGATTTGGGCAGCTGGGAAGAGAAGGTGGCGTGAGGGGCATTTGTAAAGCTACTGCTGCTGTGTTTCCTTGGTGGAAGGAAACAAAGGGCCTGGGCCACCTTGCGCTGGTCCTGGGACCAATGATCATTCAAGCCTGCTACATTTAGTTATGAAAACAGGCCTTGCTTGCCAACTCAGGGTTTCTGCCCCATGAAAACAGGCTGAATTTTTCCCCCAAGCACCACGACTTTTCTTTCCCCCAGGAGTGGGTTTGTCAAGAAACAAGGACCAAGGAATTCAAGGAGGCTACAGGTGCCACACATCACTCTGTAAACATCACCCAGTGCATGGTACATGTTCTGGCTCACATGACAGCTTGGTGATCCTCATCACGTGTATTTTGGCTGCATTGACCCTGAAATGCTTACTGCCACATTCTCAGGCTCTGTGGCCCACAGAAATGCCCAACAAACTTAGTTTATCAGGGTGTGCATGTTGAACTCAATGGTAATCCAAAACTATTTGAGTTTAAAATGGCATAGAGTTAACACCGTAACTGAGGTTTCCCACACTAGGTAAAATGAAGTAAAAATGCTATTGCAGCAAAGTTTTTTTCGATTACATAGACACCTACATGTAGTGGAGTTCCTGCTTGATTGGAGCATTGACACATTTGTTGGTGGGGAGCTTAAAATATTTGTGTGTGGCTAGTGAATAAAACATAATTTTAAGTCTTCTTACTGCAACAGGTAATGCCAAATTCAGGAATTTGGTTCCCTCATCATAAATGCTGGAAGAGGTCTCTGTTCATTTGGATTTTATAGCCCTGAATCTGTTCTGGAAAGGGGGTGCCTTTATCCTTTTTTCCTTAAAGGATCTAAGTGCAATACTTTCTCTTCTAATAAGACACTTGTTATTGCTTTGGTTTTGCCCTCTTCTAAAACAGCATAGTGGTGAGAGCATTCAGTAAATTGAACTGTTTGTTCAAATCTCTCCTCAGACTGAATGAGCTCAAGGCCGTATCTAGACATTATACACAAAACCTTCAGTAAATTGTGTATTAGGCCCTGGGTATGTGAACTCGTACCTAGGTCTCCCAAGTCAAAAATTTATCCTGCAAGTTCAAAGCACAAACAGATCAATTATTTAACCTAACTCAAGCCAACTTAACCCAACCAAACCCACATAAACACAATGGATTTTATAACTATTTCTGTAAACAGTTGAATATTAGGAGAGGCATTTTGACTGCATTTCATGTAGGTATTTTTTCCCTATGGCCTAAAAGGTTGTCCAAAATATTGGGTCGAGATGAGTGCAGATTTTGCAAGGGGTATGCTCAGCCTAGTGCAGCAGAGACAGATTTGTTCCACATATTTTTATAACCCTTGTGTATCATCCAGCGATTCACCCTGAGCTGTCATTTAACATGAAAATCCTCTGATGGACAGAAACACATACAGTGGTGGTAGCCATGGGTTGGCCTGAAAGCACACTGGCTCCCAGGAGCTGCAGATTTCACAGGACAAAGTCCTGTATTTATACACAGAAGTGTTTCTGGATGGACGGTTGAAGCAAACACGTCTTACGCAGCTTTCTGCAGTGGTGCCTCAGTCACGACCCAGTGCAAACTCCCGCAGGGGTGAGAGGTCAGTTCAAACTCCACGGCTCATTGGGTTCTTGGCTCTTCTGCCAATTAGCATTGGCAGTTATCTGTGGCAGCAGACAGCGGGCAATTGTTTATTCCAGTTTATATGTCATTCTAACCATTCACGGACCTTCACAATAAAACCCCATTGCTAAAGAATACAGATCCCAGTGAACCACAGAGGGAAAAAAAAACCAATAACAGAGGGCCACTGCAACAGGAACATGTCGTGCTGCAGACAGTTCTTGGGGACAAGCTGGGAGCAGGCTTCTCTTTGATATCAGCTGAGAAGTGCTCAAGCAGAAAGGTCATTATAACAGCAGGGACAGGACTCAGGGTAAGGATACAGAAAATCCAGAAGGCAAGGAAGAAACTGGGTGGATGGAAAAGAGAATCTTTTTTCTGGTGGTGTATGACATAAAAAACAGGTTCAGAAGGGATCTGCTGGACTGCTGTGCCCAGTCCCCTGCTATTACCAGCAAGCAGCTCATCTAATGTTATGAATTTATTATGGAGGGTTCCTTTTCTTTTTTTGGATGACTTCTGATCACATCTCTATTTTGGTGATTTCAATTTCCCGCCTAAATTTATTCATGACCAGTGTCCTCTTACGTCAATATGGCCTTTAGATAAACAGCTCTTCTCCCTCCTTACTGTTTGCTCCAGCTGGTAACACTGAGTTTGAAAGTGAAGAAAATATCCCAACTCCTTTATTTCCCTCATTTATCACCCCAATGGGGAAATCTCATAGTTGCAGACAGCTAGCGTGGGATACAGATCCAGATGAAAGACAGACAATGATGTCTACACATAGATTTCCTGCCCAAACTCCTGCAGAGATCTGGTCACTGCAATCAGTGGAGCCCAGAGAGCCATCCAAATGCAGGTGCCATCTTCAAAGCGAGGTGAACAGCTCTCCAGACTCCAGTGAGTGTATTAATTAGAGCTTGACTGAATATGGCTGCAGATTACACAGTAGCTTATGTATAGGGACTTTTACCCTGTAGATACCCATAGTTACGTGAACTGGATCTGACTCCCACTCTCACTGAAGGGAAAGGTTTTACTGAATCCCTAAACACAGGACTGCAAGTCTTCTTTGACCAGGATATCCAAGAAATTAGCATGGGGCTGGGAGATGGACACAGGACTGACCGGAGCCCCAAAATCTTGTAGAACCCCCATTGTGGGTTTGACCTCAGAAGGGACCAGACGCCTATAAACTTTTGACTCTGCTAATTTATTTTATGCCTTTTCCATACAAATTAAACTGCAGCAGTCATGTTTTTGTTTCTTTCAAATGAGAAAAAACCTGAAATCTTCCCAAAGTACTGTCTCACATGCATTTGCAAGGTAATTTTTGATGCATTAAGAGGACCAACAGAACAAGGTGGAAACTTCAATGTGCATGGCTACTTACTGAACTCACAAAGCAGTGTTCAGATTCTCCGCTTTCAAATAGGATGACATCTTTTATGAAGACTGCGATGGCTCTCATTATGAAGGACATGAAGAGGTGCATATGGATATAATTTCGAGTACAGTGTAGTTTTCTGTCAGGAAGAGATGAAACAACAGTTCTGAATAGCAAGGCTTCTTAAAAGCATTATTTATCTATTTACATGTTTCTTCTGCCAAGATATAGACTTACAATTAAACATTAGAAACCGTGAGACAGACTATGTTCTGATGTAAATCACCACAAATCCACTTAAGCCTTTTTAAATCCACAAAACATGTGGCAATCCATACATTTGCTGCTTTTCCAATTCTCAGAAAAAAAGGTCAAAATACAGAATGACAGAAAACAGGTCCATCATACTGCTCTCCGCTGGAAAAGAAATGTTTTTGAGTAAACTCTGCTCATGATAAAGGCCTGTTTTCTACAGAATGTTTGTACTGCAATAATCCTTTTCAAAGTGAAATGTTTCTTCAGGAAAAGAAATAAATTCTTAGCAGCTGCTGCCAAAATTAACACATATTACAGATTTTCTGGAGCAATACAAACTATATTTTAACTTAAAAATGACTAGTTATTAATAATATTGAGAACAACACCAGGTTTTTTCTGTCTCTTGCCCACTAATATTTTGAAGATGAATTCTGATCAAATAGGTCTTTTTTTCAAGTGAGACTTTACATCAGCTAAAGTGAAAGGCCTAATACTCTGGAAATGGGTACTTTGTACAGTCATCAGAACCACAGCAGACCTCACTCAGCAACATGATCAAATTACCACCTCTTAATGAGTCACTGTGCATTAGCAGAGTTTATGCTCTTAATCTCTGACAATAGCAAGATAATGTGACCGAGCTGAGTCCTCTGTACTTGCAGGTGAAGGCAAGTCAAATTACGTTGTTTCCCACAAATGAAGAGTGTGAGCCCTGACAGTTTCACCAGCTTGGCTGGCACCTTGTACCTTATTGAGATGAGATAATTTGCATGCGTGTCTGATTCACTCTTCCCTTGTAAGAGGAGTGGAAAGAGCCCATGTGCTGAGAAGTGCAAAGATCTTGAACGGTGAGGCCGGTCTTGGTATAAGTGTGAGAGTTACCCTAGAACGTATGCTGTTTCCTACAGCTTTATTTGAGGACAATGTCTGGACCAGATATTGTCATAAATTGGACAACCATATAACACATTTCAGGGAAGCCACTGGAGAGTGGCATGAGGAGGTGGAATCACATCTAGAAGGTTCTTCCATCTCACAGAGGTCTGCTTTGTGCTGTTCTCCCTATACATAAACAATATTATAATAGGAGATTACCTTATATGCAGACTTCCTCATTGGAGGCACCCAAATTTAGATGCCTGAATCTACTATAAACAATGGAGACAGAAGATTAATTCATTGGCTGCAATCTAGGCATCTAATGCCAGCTGACATGCTGTAGAGTATCTGCACATCAATCCATAAGGCCCTGGGTCTCCTGAAGGTCCTGCATTATATCTGCTACCCTTGTGCACATCTCAGCAGGTCCAGCATGTATAAAATGGCTCTGGGTGTCTAGGTCTTGCCATAGAACTATAGCAGGAAGCACTTCTGAAATAGGTAGTTTTGGGGTGTGATTCACCTGTATCATTTTGAATACCTAATTTAGTAGAAATGCATCATTCCATAGTATCCATATATACCACACTGACTAGGTCTCTGTGGACTATAACAAGCTTATGGGATAATGGCCTCTAATACAGAGATCCACCACGTAACAATCTACGTTTAGTGAGAGGATTCCCACCTAAATAATTGGACCGGGGTTATAACTCTCACACAAAGGCCACAAATCACATACCAGAAAACAGTGGTACCGAAAGATGAAGGAACTTTCCTTCCCTGTCCAACTGAGACTTGACAGAAGTCTTTTGCATCCATCTGCAACACTCATAGTCTATAACGTAAACAGCCACTATGTCCTTCAAGTCATCCCCTTACCTATGCCTTCTTTGCTCATGGTCTTACCTGAAGAGACATAAAATGATCATAGCAGCCGTGAGAGCAATAAGCGATAAGGTATGTCCAATGGTGTAGCCAGTCTTGACTGTGCCATAGAACGCCGTTTGCTAATGTGAAGGAAAGAAATGAAACAGGTCTTTCAAAGAGCTGCCAACATGCATTCCTAAATACACCATCACTGAGCTTTTACTGACTTTCTTGGTGAGACAAGGAAATCATCCTACTCCATTCCCTTAAAAAATCTCCAAATCCTTCACCCTTTAAAACCACATCCAGTAGAGTACATGACTCAAATACCACCACTGTGAATAGGAAGAATGTGTCCGGTTGCAGTAGAGCTCGGATCACTCCAAAACCAGGTTACAGTTACACAAGGGAAAAGTTCATGCAGGAAGGAGTCTGATTTGACACTTGCAGAGACAGCGACATGGTTTTAATCTTGTGGAACAGGAATGACTAATGTTCAGTTAAACAGCACACTGACACATCAGCTCTGAGGTGGTAAGTATGATGAGCTTCATCTTATTAAGGAAGTTTGAGGACAAAACTGGTCTGGAAATTGTTTTGCTTTTGTGGAATTTAGACATTGTGTTTCGACATGTAAAAACTTAAAATCTTCTCATTGGAATCACAGATACGTTAATTCAGAAATATATGTTAAGTTGGAAATTAGTTCACGGCTTTTCTCTTTGACAGCACACAGAGGGAATCTCTGAGCATGGGACACCACGGGACTGAAATCCAACAGGGAATCCTGGTCTAAATAAAACAGGGAAGTAAGGCAACAAAACTCCAGCTCTCCTAAGGCTCTCCAGCAACACTCTAAATCAATACATTTTCACTTTAAGCTTAAAAAAAGGACAAAAGATTAGTTGGTATTTGGACATTTGTTTTATCAATGAAAAATCCAAGTTTTTATGAGAATCTAACTCAGTTTGTGGAAAATCTTATTTTTCCATCCTTTGATTGACACTCCTCTGCCCTCCTTGTCACCATTTTCTATAAAAAACCCAAACAACCAAAACTGCAAAGAGCACTTTAGACAGAAAATCTAAACCCAACCTTGTTTGGCAAAACACTCTTTAATAACAGTGAGGGTTCACATTTTTATACGCTGTTTTCATAGGCCTTGGCAAGTACTAGGTACTTTACAGAACCAGTGAGGCTGAGATGAGTAGTAATCCTCCAGCATTTGCACAAGCCAGCTTGGAGGGGTGTTAAAACAAGACAGAGCTTTCAGAGAATGCAAAGGTTACACTGGTTGTATCTATATTGCTGCTTAGACCACAGATCTCAGAGACGGCTGAAAGCACAGTGTCTTTACAGCCCCATTCAATGAATCCACATCACTAAGAGCTTTGGGTCAGTAACTCTGAAAACATAATTCATAGCAAGGGTTTCAGGCCAATTTATCTATCTGGTCTTGCCCATATGATGCCAGGAGGTTACTATGGTGATGGAGTCACCCAATATGGTATGGGCATACCTAAGCCTCACTCATCTGCACTGCATGGAGGGACTTGGACTGCAGTAAGGAACAGTGGAGGTTCCACCTTTCTACTCCACTGTCTTGCATATTCCACCCAAAGCTAACGAAATAGTCTTGTTTCCAGTCTTGTTTGAGTTTGGGCTCCTAAAGGCAGCTGAGACTTTTCCAATAAAAGCAGTCAACTTCCTTCATGTTGATTTTGTCTTTCTCTCATTGTCTAGTTTCCTTCTTGATGGCACCAGAGCAGGAGTGTTCCAGGAAAGACCTGGCCAGCGGAAGGAGGGAGCTTGTGGTAGGGGGCTGAGTTTGAGGAAGAGATTGTCCCACATTATATTTAGGAGAGCAGAGAAATGGGGGAGAGGAAATTAAGAGATATCGTAGGAGATGTCAGTAGTGGGGTGGTCGATGGAAACTCTCCAGTATGAATACAGGTAGAGGCCTTTTGCTCCTTAGAGTTAGTCACAGGAGCAAGTTATGCACAGAAAGATCTTGGTGTTATTCAACAAGCAATTCCCTGCCCTTATATTTTATGGTAACCAGTCCTTCTTGTGTACAGAGAGATGGCTCTGCATTCAGCTTTAATGTAGCATGTGGGGTCATCTCTGTTCTGGAAACAGCACATAATGACTTCTCACTCTTCATTTGCACTTGCTAATGACAATCACTTCCTATTTTACAGATATCAAACCAGAGAATTTGACCCAAGATCATAAATGGAATTGGAATTTCACTCAGAGCTCAGATTACTAAAATATTCTTATTAGAAAAAAGAGGGATTTAGAGAAGTGAAGGAAATGCATGCCAGGATGCCTGGGTTCTAGCCATAGATCTAGACTGATCTACAGAATGAAATTAAGCAATTTCATCATTCTCTCTCTGACTTCTAAAAGCCTCTGCTTAATTTCACAGGAACGTGATAAGAGCAATTAGTTAAGGTAGATGCTAAACCAACATTAACTGAGAATTAGCTTCCTTGGTTTCTGTTCAGTAGCCTCTATATTTAACCCTTTGTAACTGAGATTAGAATGTAAAACAGTTACATTTGTAAGAGAAAAAGAACAGAAATACCGCTCTCAAGTCTTTCAGTAGCCCTGCACCCAAACCTGTTTTGGGTTCATGTCACCTAGCCTGAAGTCATCTGGGCTCCCTCTAAAGTAAATGCAAAGAGGTCCCTTTGGAGAGAAATGTGGGGTGAACTGACCTCTGGAGGTCTCTGTTTTCTTCACCATCTTCAGGCAGAGCCTATGGGGACACCTGGGGTGGCCCCTCTCTGACCAGAGGGAGGCACACAAGGGAGAAATTGTGCATCATGTCTGACAATGGGACAGCAAAACAACTCCCCCATTTGTTAATAAGTGTTTTTTAAAAGTCAGGTTGGAGAAGGAATCATTATCACTGCAAAGATCATAAGTGCACTACTTTGGTGCCCACATCATCTGCTTCTTAGGGACTGCTGGAATTCACAACTAAAATCTTACACACAGACCTTATTTATTTTTCATATTTTTCTTGTTGTTTCTGACCTGAGACCAGTAGGCATTAAAAGTGCATGAAGTGTTTTAAGCATGGAAGATTATCAGTCTGTTCTGGACCTCATGTCCCATACAGCCTACTGTTCTCCTTTTTTTTCTGTTCCCTTTAATTCTTCCTCCCCAAATTGACAGCCAATTCAACAACAACAAAAATCTATTCTTCTTCACAGGCTAGTACTGCATGTTCACTCCCCTCAGCCACCTTTCACACAAATTAGACTTAAACAGCATGACAAAACTGCGGAAACAGAGAGAAAATAATTAAGAAAGAATTAAGAGAACACAATACGTGTTCTCTTGGTAACGTGGCACTCTGGCAATGCTGCAATCCATTGGGATGCCAAAGCATGTCCCAGGAATTCCCAAATCCCCTTTGCAGCTGGAACATAAACCAGAGCTCTCGATGGAGGACCTTCCCAGAGCAGACCCGTAACAACGGCTTTTGCAATGCGCAACTGGTGCCACACAGCTCGATCTGAGAAACGGGACACTTGAGGATGTGAAGTGGTGGCTGACCTCGAAGGCAAACTAAGGCTCTCTTCAGTAGAGCCCTGAAATTCTTTGTGCAACTTTCCCTTTGCTATTTTCTGTATTCTTTCACTATTAAGGCTGGCTCAGTTCTGTTCAGATTCTCCGTTAACTCTTTGAGTGCCTTGGTAATGTGTGACCATAGACAAAGACCTTTCACCATACATATATTTATTCACTACTCAGATTCCTATGTCCAACATTCACAAACACTGACATATATCATACAACAGAAAGAAAGCACGGGCATAGGTTTGATATAAACATATGGTTGCAGTGAAATATTCTTTTCTAGCATAAGCTTTTTCTTGTTGACTCTGGGACAGCTATAGGTGACTAGTTTAGATTAGATGTTTAAGTTTTAGTTAGGTGAGGTGAATCTTGCTTCTAACTAAATTTGTTATCCTCTTTAGACTTTACCCTTCATGTCTCAGCATGCAGCAAACCACCAACAAACTCCTTCCTGTGTAATGACAGTACTCTATAAAGCTAATTATACCTAGGTCAGTGATTACTAATTTATATACAGGCAGTATCCCAAAGAGCTTGCAGATTTCCTTACAAAATTCAGTAACATTGCATGAAAATTTGTGTGTTCCCTACAGTTTTCTAGATCTTTAGCTGGTTGAGATCAGCAGAGCAGCACTGATGGCAAGTGAGTTATATTCTTTTATCCCTCTTGATCTTTTGATCCTTATGTTGGCCTAGAAATACTGGAATCACCATATCTACTTAAGCATAAATATAAATATGGAAGGCTTGTTTCTAAGTTGAATATAGAAAATCAGGCACCTGAAGTTATGTGTGGGCACCACAGAGACATTGGTCTGATCTTCTCAGATGCTGATTTCCTGCCACCCCCCTGGTAATCAAAGGGAGGATTATCTCTTTGACCACACATTTGATCTCTGTTTCCAGGGATCCCCAAAAGGGTCCTTCCTTCTTGAGGAATCAGAGTGGGAACAGAAAAAATTGGGCATGGGAAGATCATGTGATTCTGGTATTGATCCCTGGTAAATCTTAATGTCCACCCATCCAGGTTTACAAACCTCTTCCCCTGGAGTGCTGTTGGAATCATATCCACAAGCTACGGTATACGGCGCAGGGTACACATCCGTCCAGCCCTGGCTTGTACAATTCCTGGTCACATTCCCTGGAAGAAAAGAGAAAAGAATGATTTAAAAAGAATCATTCAGCTTGCTGTCAAATGTCTGACTTTTGTTGATTCAAATGCCAGAGCACATTTCTTGTAACAGAGTAAAATTCTCATACTTTTTCTCTGTTACAAAGTGTTCATATTACACAGAACATATAAATGGGAGGGACCCACTGGGTCATAAAGTTCAGACCTCAAAAAACAAGTACATTTTAACACTGAGGCGCCCAGAAAAAATCTCTTCTAATGGCACCATAATGCCAGTTGTACCTGGACCTTTGGTTGTTGTGCACCAATATTGTTTGAGAGTGTCATTGTCATATTGCCTTTGTTCCTGGGATCTGAACAGAGCAGTGAAGTCCTACATCTTTCACTTCGCTTGCAAGAAGCCAAGACAGGGACAGATAAAGTGCTCATTTCACATTATGCAGGTAAGGTTGGAGGTCTGGGAACTGAATGCAGTCCTCAAAACCCAGACCTTGCCTACAAGATGAGCCCCGATCAAATGTGATTCCTGGGAAATCTACTGCACTCTTGTTTGAGAACCAAACATTTCAAAATTTGGCTATAAGGGGAGAAAAACCAGATACTGACAACCTGTATTGCCTGTTTTAACATGTATACTCAAAGGTAGGAAGATTTCCTGGACTCTTAAACAAGTTGAGTGCCAACTGGCTAAAAATTAACCATAAGGACGTCTCTCTCCTTCAGCCCAAACTGACAAAACTGTGAAGTCTGCATGTCTCTCTGGTACTCTGCATCTCCTGGTCCATCCGGGATTGTAAGGGGACTGCCCAGTGCAAAGCATTTCTCATTTTGTAAGACATCTCTGCTTCTTGTCCCAGCTGGACCTCAAACTCACATTGGCTAGGGGCTGTACAGACATTAATCAAGCAAAAGAAGGAGAGACCAACAATCTGACCAGGATAGGCCTTACGGTTCGTAGTCTAAAAGGCCAAGATAGATGTTTGTCAGACAGAAATAACAGAGAAGCAATACATCCAACAGTACATTGCAAATTCCCCCAGCACCCACTCTTACCAATGGTCCCTACCCTGTCCATCTCATGTGAATCACATCACTATGGCATTCCTTTGGTGTCATTTATCACACAAAACTGCCTGCCATCCCTGACTAGAAAGCTGGTACAATAAACTAGAATGAACAAACAGTAGTCAAAACTCGCTTCTTAGATGAAGAATTACATTAGTGAAACTCAAGAGCTTTGCAAACATTTCCAACAATGCAGTTCTTTGCACACAGGAATCATAAACTTCTGCAAACAGGAGTAAATCATTTATGCAGCTATGAGTCATGAAAATATTCAAGCATCACCTCCAAGAATTTCTGACAATTGAGTCATCTGAACATTTTCCTAACCAGAGACCTGTCTTGCAGTGAAATCAGCAGCAGCCTATCCCCTGGCTTAACTCACTTCTTGAATCCCTGTGACAGGTGGATTTTGACACTAAAACTTGCTCCTGTTATTTGTCTTTACAACAGATCTAAACTCCACGAAGGCTCTCGTGCCTTTGTTCATTTGAACAGCTGCTCCAAAAGAAGTTAACTTTAGCAGAGTTTGGTGGGTTGCTGTTCCCCAGGCTTTTTCTGCACTGTCATTGTTTGCATTTCTTTTTACCAGGGTTCATACTGGGATCATAAGAGATCTTGTGCAACCATATCAAGGACATGAATGTTCAGTGCTTTTTTTTTTTTGAGGTGTGACGTAATATCTGTTATTTGTTCTTCATTACAATGGAAACCATTATCTGAACTTTTCTGCTTCCTATTTCCTGCTCAAAACTCCTCCTCTCTATTTGAGGATGCCTTTAGCTTTCACAGTGGTTTTGATACTTTGCTTCTTATTCTTAGCAAACTAAGGGGTGCTTCTTTCAGCTTAATTTTCTCATATTTCTCCTGTTTATTCTTTTTAGGTACACTTCCTCACAATTGTTGATTCTTTTTGTAATTCTCCTCACTGCTCTCAAGAATACTTTTAAAAGTTGTCTTAATGCTTTAGTAGATGTGGAAGCTAAGGTAGAGGGAAGCACAATGATATATCATATCTGGGATTAAAAAACAATAATAAAAATGTCCCTGATTTTAGGGAAACTCACTTTCCAGAGAAGTTTTTCTACCACCCTTTGCTGCTTATGTCACTTTTTGATGTGCAAATTCACACACATGGTGTGATACAACAAACCTTTCCAATAACTCTCATGTTCCGTACTATATGTCTGGGAGGTGCAAAAAGTACAAGGTTAGAAGATATAGATTTTACCACACCACAGTTTTGGCTCAAGTGATGAATGACATCTCTCCTCAGAGAAAACAACATTTCTAATTACTAATGTTAGTAATTTCTATACTGAAAACGAACATAATATTTGGAGAAGTGCTTCACAAGCTTAGATCTCACTCTGAGATTTACAGGCAGCAAACTTCAGACTGAAGTATTAAACTGAGATTTTCATGTTACAAGGTCAAATCCCAGCTCTGTCACAGACCTCCAGTGAAACTGCAGCCAGTTCTTGTGGTCTCCCTGGGTCTCAGTTTCCCCACCAATAGTAGGACTTTGGTAATAAAGTCTGATCTTCTGTCAATGGGAAAGTAAAGTGTTCAAAGCACCAGAAATTGTATATGCTGTTTTCCAGAACCATTTCCCATTAACTTGTGTTTCTCACTACTTTGTGTAACACAAATTCTCTCTAGAATGATGCACTAACGAAATACATTGAAGCCGCAAAATGAAGTGGCAGTATCAGAAAAGACAGAGCTTCTGCTTAACTTCATTTCTTCCTATGACAAGGTTACCCACCTAGTTGACCAAGGGAAACCAGTTGATGTAATCTTTTTGGATTTCAGTAAAGCCTTCGATACTGTCTCTCACAGTACCCTCCTGGACAAAATGTCCAGCCTACAGCTGGATAAACACATAATGCCATGGGTGAGCAATTGGCTGACAGATCGGGCTCAAAGGGTTATAGTAAATGGGGTTACATCGGGCTCGCAGCCAGTCACTAGTGGGGTTCTGCAGGGATCCATCTTAGGGCCAATGCTCCTTAATGTCTTCATAAATGACTTGGATGCAGGACTGGAAGGTTTCTTATCTAAGTTTGCCAATGACACAAAATTGGGAGGAACCGTTGACACTCTTGAGGGCAGAGAGTCCCTGCAGAGAGATCTGGACAAATGAGAGAGCTGGGCAATCACTAACTATATGAAGTTTAACAAGGGCAAGTGCCGGATTTTGCACCTGGGACAGGGCAGCCCTGGATGAACATACAGACTGGGGAACGAGAGGCTGGAGAGCAGCCCCGCGGAGAGGGATCTGGGGGTTCTGGTCGATGGCAAGTTGAACATGAGCCGCACCAGTGCAGAGTAGAGCAGGACCTTGACCAGCTGGCAATACAGTGCTTGCCTCTTGGCAAGAGGGCCAACGGTGTCCTGGGGAGCATCAAGCACTGTATTGTCAGCTGGTCAAGGGAGGAGATTGTCCTGGTGCGGCCTCATCTTGAGCACTGTGTGCAGTTTTGGGTGCCACAGTACAAAAAGGATACAAAGCTACTGGAGAGTGTCCGGAGGAGAGCCACAAAGATGGTGAAGGGTTTAGAGGGGAAGCCATACGAGGAGCAGCTGAGGTCACTTGGTCTGTTCAGCCTGGAGAAGAGGAGACTGAGGGGAGACCTCATCACGGTCTACAGCTCCCTCACAAGGGGAAGAGGAGGGGCAGGTGCTGATCTCTTCTCCCTGACGACCAATGATAGGACCCGAGGGAACGGCAGGAAGCTATGCCAGGGGAGGTTTAGGTTGGACATTAGGGAAAGGTTCTTCACCCAGAGGGTGGTGGAGCACTGGAACAGGCTCCCCCAGGACGTAGTCATGGCACCAAGCCTGACAATATTCAAGAAGCATTTGGACAATGCCCTCAGACATATGGTGTGAATTTTGGGGTTGTCCTATGCAGGGACAGGAGTTGGACTCGATGATCCTTGTGGGTCCGTTCCAACTCAGGACATTCTATGATTCTACGATTCTATGATTCTGGACTTGGAAATGGTATCTCCAGCTTTTGAAAGGTCACAAGGTTTCCAAAACTTTCCCATTTCCTATCAGACTGAATCTAAATCTTTTTAAGCTATATTCCTGGAGAATTATATGAGAAAGGAGACCAGTGGAGGAGATTCACTGAGAGCTGGAAAGCGTCATACTGCCAGTAGGTTTGTGCTCCAGGCTCTCCTCTATGTTGTAGAAAAAGGAGGTTCAAGTCCCTGGTGGGAACAGAGTCCTCTCGGTAGGGTGGTATTGGTTGACAGCTTTTTCCCCATCCCAGTCATGAAATAATCTGTTTTTTGTGGGGTTTGCATTTCATTTTGATCAGAAATGTTACAACTGTCAAAGCATTACATCTACTTCTAAAAGGCACATCCATTTTGATGACATTTTCCATTAAAAAAAAAAGTTTCATTTGAAAAAGCCACGACTAACTTTTATCTACGATAACAGTAACCTCGTAACATGTCTTACCAGAACTCAGCTTCCTGCTTTCACAGAATCACAGAATGGTTGAGGTTGGAAGGGACCTCTGGAGGTTCTCTGATCCAACCCCCCTGCTCAAGCAGAAACACCTAGAGCTGGTTGCTCAGAAGCATGTCCAGATGGCTTTTGGAAATCCTTGGAAACCTCCAAGGATGGAGACTCCACAACCTCTCTGGGCAACCTGCTCCAGTACTTGGTCACCCTCACAGTAAGAAAGTGTTTCTTTATGTTCAGATGGAGCCTCCTGTGTTTCAGTTTGGCCATGGTTAGAAAATGCAAAAGCAATTAGAAAGTGCAAGAGGGTCTCACTACTTCAGAAGTGCACTTGTGAATGGGAGCCTTGCATGTAAGAGAAGTCCTGTTCTGGGTGCTGTCACACCCACAGGACAAAATCCCTAGTTCCCATTTCAGGGGTGCGCAGTCACTGCAGAAGCACCAGGCATATGCTCCCATGAGGC